CTACTACTAGTACTAGTAGTACTGCAAGTACTTGTCATAGCACTACTTTTTCTGTTACTACTACTACTACTACTACTACTACTACCACTACCACTACCAACACCACTACCACTGGTACTACTACTCCTGCCTCTTGGGGCCTCCTGGGCCCCCTTGGGGTGTCCTGTCAGACCGTCGGGCTTCCTCCGGCCACCTCTGGCTTCCTGCGGTGCACCGGGCCATTCTCGACTCGTCTGGCAATGCGTGCGCGGCATTCAACACGCGCTCGCCAGTTCCCGTCGGCAACCGCCATCGCGGCCGCATCAGCTGTACCAAACCGGCTGGCCGGTGTGACTTCGGCCCCCAGTTGTGCCAGCTTTGCTTCTTATGTTGTGGGAGGGCGGGTGGGACTGGGCATGCCATGCTTGACTCGCTCGAGCTGGCTAGCTTGACTCCTACTCCTACTCCTACTTTCCTCCTACTACTACTACTACTACTACGACTACTACTACTACTACTACTACTACTACTACTACTACTACTACTACTACTACTACTACTACTACTACTACTACTACTACTACTACTACTACTACTACTACTACTACTACTACTACTACTACTACTACTACTACTACTACTAGGACTACTACTACCACTACTACTACTACTACTACTACTACTACTACTACTACTACTACTAATAGTCATATTACTACTACTACTACTACTACTACTACTTTCACTACTCTTTCTACTACTCTACTACTCTACTACACTACTACACTACTACTACTACTACTACTACTACTACTACTACTACTACTACTACTACTACTACTACTACTACTACTACTACTACTACTACTACGACTACTATTACTATTTCTGTCACTACTACGATCCAGCAAGAGACACGCGAGATCCTAACCGCAATAGCTCACTCGTAAATCTGCTCCTGTAAGGTGTCCATCGCAATGTCAGATAGCAATGAACAAGTATGGTAACAGTTCAATATGTTTTCTTTATTCGCTTCCTCCTCGGTTGGGATCTGACCGTGCCTGGTGTTTTAGACGGTTGGGATCTGAACCGTCCGGTTGGGAGCTCACGCGACCAGTTGGGATCTGAACCCATCGCTTTTGAATCGTCTTGCGCCGTCTTGGGGCCCTCTTGGAGCCGTCTTTGGGGCTTCTCGGGCCGTCACGGGGCTATCGTGGAGGCCTCTTGGGCGCTCTGGGGGCGATCTTGGGAGCCTCTTGTGCCATTGGGACCGTCGGCGGGCAACACAGAAAATCTTTCAAAAACCAAATGGAAATCTATGATTTTCGCTTCTTCGGGCTTTCCCAAAGGATGTCTTAGAGGCGCTTTGGCCGCCTCGGAGGCTATCTTGAGCTATCTTGACCCCGCCGTCTTCGGTGCTACCTAGGCCGTTTTGGACCAGGAGCGTGGGGTCCTGGAGCCCCGGTCCCGCCATGGATAAATGAGGTCCCCCCCCCGGGGACCTGAACTTGCGCTATGTGTATATATTTGTGTTATGTATATGTATATATATATATACACATATATATAACTATATATAAGACTGCGGTGGCGCTGCGCGCCATTCACCTTGGTTCTTTAGAATTTCGCACGTTACCGGAGTGCGTGCGTACGTACATGCGCACACACATGCGCCGATGGGAACATAGTACATATGATCTATAAATATACGTATGTATGGGTATGTGCATGTATATGCAAATGGTCTGTGTAACTATGTGTGCGCATACACATGCGTATCTCAGGAGCGGCCTGACCAGCTGCTCCGGGCATCTCGCAAGTCGCGATGGGTCTCAGGGGAAAGTGGCCAGACTACCATGGTCATTCAAGTTGAGCAATCAGGGCGGAAGACAGCTATGTACACGATTAAAGAAAGCGATAGCGCCTTGTTGCCGTTTTCGTGGTTGTCGATCTGACAATGTTTTCCATTCCCTATCCTTTCTTTCCTTGAGAGGAGGAGGAGGCGAGAGGAGGAGGAGGAGGAGGCTCCGAGGAGGAGGAACAGAGAGTATACAGAGAAGGAGAAGGAACAGGAGGATAACGGGAAAGAGAAGGAGGGAGACGGGCAGAAGAAGGATGAAGGAAAATTATCTGCGGAAGGCTTCTGGGGGCGCCATTGAAGCTCAGCGTTGGGAGCCCTGGTGTTATGTAGCGTTTTGGGGCCTCTTGGGAGTCTTCTTGGGGCCCTTTTCTGGATCCCTTTTAGGGCTATGTTGGAATTCTCTTGGGTCGTCTCGGGGCCCTTTTGGGCCGTCTTGGGGCGTCTTAGAGGCCTTTGGCCGTCGTGGGGCTCTCCTGGCGGCGTCTTGGGGTCCTCTGGGGTGCCTATGTGAGCGTTCTTGGGGCTCTCTTGGGCCCGTCTTGGATGTTTCGGGACTCTTGGATCGTTCTCGGGCTCTTTAGGGGGCCTCTTGGGCTATCTTGGGGCGATTTTTGGAGCCTCTTGGGTCGGTTCGGGCTGGTGCTGGCCCGAGAAAGGGAAAGCCATATTTTTTTTTTGAAAACCACACAACAATCAATGACATTTCCCTTCCTGGGGCCCTCTTGGAAGCCTGTTGGAGGCCTCTTGGGGCGTCTCGGGGCTTGGACGGTCTTGGGCGGTCTTGGGGTCTCTTGGAGCGCTCTTGGGCTGTCTTGGAGCGCTCGTGGACCCCTCTTGGGAGTATCTCGGGCCGTCTGGGGCGCCTCTGGGACCGCTCGAAAATTTCGGGGAAGGCCGAAACTCGTTCGGGGGGGGGGGCTCCGTCCGTGGTCATCGGCGCTGTATGGGAGGTCGCTCGATTTTGAAATATCTACGATACTTGCGGTGTTTGAAGGATCGCGGCATCTCGTCATTTTGTAAACGAGCGTGCGCGCATATATTGTTTGCAGAGGATGAGGGGGTGCGATACCAGCTTGCCAGGGATGGCACGGATTCATATGTAGGATGGGCGATGAGGGGGCCCTTGAACCCATGGGGGGTCGATTTTTTCTAAAGGAAAAGAAAATACATGCGGCGACGGGGCGGCGACGGCGGCAACGTAGCCGCCAGACCCATCGTGAAGCCTAGACGACGGGCGGCGACGGGTCGGCGACGGCGGCAACATCGCCGCCAGACCGCCCGTCAGCCCCAGACGACGGGCGGCGACGAGGTTGCGACGGAGCCGCGACAGCGGCACCATAGCCGCCAAACCGACCGTCAGGCCCAGCCTGCGGGCTGCGACGGGGCGGCGACGGGGCGGCGACGGAGGCAATAGACCGACCGTCAGGCCCAGTTCCTCAGAACAGAGGTAAAAGACCCGAAGTGCAAGCATGATTTGGGGAATACATGCGTGTTGGTGGATACCCTCAAGGGCGAAACAATATGCGGCCAGATTTTGACAGGCACGTGATCTCTCACAACCTCTGATGCGGACAACAAAGGAAGGATTCCAGATGCATTTCTGAAGAACTGGAGGATGTATCTGATATGCTGGAAGGATTGGCACAATATTACAAGTTGAAAGAGACACACACACCACACACAACGTGTCCCATACATGTCAAGGCATCGACAACAATAGGCAACAGGTGGGATGGCATAGGCTATTCATTTTCTCAGGGCAAATTATTGTTGCAGCCCAGTGCGCATGCAATGGTCCGACAGGGCCGCTCATCATATTAGAACACAATGGACAGTTGCACATTGGCACCCAGATTCAGGCAGCAGATGACTCTCAAGTGCGTCTCCGCGGATTTGGTGAACGAGCATTGTATACATATACAGCAAATTGCAGATTCGGAGTCAGTACAGGCATGCTTTGGTTATTGAGGACGATGGCACAAACCCTGATTTAGACAGTAATGGGCACAATGTTTTTGGTCCGCTTGAGAACCCCAGTTAAGCATGCACCACCTTCGGCAAGTCTTGACGCTTCACGGGCTGCTGGAGATCCTGAAACGTTGCTCACGCGAGTCGCCTTGATAAGAGAAGTGGGGAGCATGCAGTGGAAGGCAGAGCTCGGGAAAACATCACATCGAAGTTTGAGATCAGCCTGAGCAGACTCAGGACTAAAGTTCTCGTGCAATCGCAGCCCAGTCGAATGAGGAAGGGTGGAGGAGAAGGACGAGTTTGCGGGAGGAGAGAACGTCCTCCGCCAGACAATGTGGGCATGGATGTCCAAATTGTACGACGACAGGCTCCAGAGGTTGGAGGCTTCTTGGCAACAACCTGAAACCACCATGGAACAAATTGGGAAGCCGTGTTGACCCTTTTGGGGCCTTCTTGGGGTCCTCTTGAGGCTCTTTCAGGAGGTTATGGGTACCGGGGCCCCCTTCGTAGGGCCATCTTGAGCCCCATCGTTTAAAGGAGAGGGCGGCGTAAATCAGCCCCCCCCCCCCCTCAGAGCCTTCAAAGCCGCCTCTTGGGGCGCTCTTGGGCGCCTCTTGGGCGCTCTTGGGCCCCTTTTTGCGGCCTCTCGGGGCCATATTGGAGCTCTCTTCGGCCATCTTGGGGCCATCTTGAGGCCTCAAAGGTCCATCGGAAACGAACAGGCAAGAATGCAAAACATAGTAATTGTCCGTTGGTTTGGTGACGATGTGGGCCTCTTGGGGGGTTCTTGGAGGGCTCGGAGAACACTCGAGACCGCCTTGTGCCCGTCGTAGGGCCTCCTGGAGGTATGTCGGATGCTATCTCGATTCATGTTCAGCTATCTGGTGCCATTTGGGAGGGCATTTTGAGCTCTCGGAGGCGCTCTTGAAGCTACATTTTGCAATCTTGAGGTTTGGGTGAGGGTTCGAGTGCCGACCCAAGAATTCCACGCGAACCACCAAAGTTCGTTCTCAAGACGCTTCTTTCTCTTCTTGCTCGGCCCTGCCGATCAGCGCGGTCCGCGCCTCCTCGTGTCGTCGCCGTCGTCGTCGTCGTCGTCGTTGTCGTCGTTGTCGTCGTGCCGTCACAGGCGGCGCTGTCGCCGTGATTGCGGCCGCCCTCGTGTCGTCGTGTCCTCGTCGCCGGCGTGGAGGAGCGCATGCGCGCCTCAGGCATCGACACGAACGCCTGGGGCTCAGTCGACCCTGCCTTGTGGCCGTCGTTGGCAGGCGGCATTTCCTGAGCGGAGGCGGAGGCTCCCCCCGCGCAGGGGGCGAGGCCCCCCGCCTCTGCGGAGGTCATCGGACTCTGCGAAGCGTCGGGCACGGTGCGTTTCGCCGCCACGGAGGAGGTCGAGGAGAAGGAGGAGCAGGCGGAGAGGGAGGAGGTCGAGGAGCAGGAGGAGGAGGAAGAGCCGGAGGAGGAGGAGGAGGAGGACGCGAAGGAGGAGCACGAGGAGGAGGAGCACGAGGAGGAGGAGGAGGAGGAGGAGGAGCACGAGGAGCACGAGGAGAAGGAGGGCGTTCGAGGTTCGAGGATTGATTTGGTTGTGTGCTTTCCGCCACAATGAAGCCTCTTGGGGCTTTTCTTGGCGCCCTGGCTGGATTGTCAGTGCGATGCTGGTCAAAGCGCACCCCTCGGTTGATGTTTGAAGGGATGGGAAGAGGGATAAGGAAGATGAGTGGGATGGCGAGGAGCACGATGTTGCCATGACGAGAGGGTGGTCCCGAAGGGACGGTGTCCTCAGCATTTTCCCCGTTTCTGGCCTCCTGGCCCTTGGGCCCTTCCGAGAAAGAGTCAGCACGACGTTGGTCCTTGGGAGGGCCTTTCCCCTCAGGACCGTTCTCTTCCACGCAAGCGAAGACCAGGAGGAGGTGGAGGAGGAGAAGCAGGGGGAGGAGAGGAGGAGGAGGAGGAGGCGAAAGAGACGGGGGCACGATATGCTCCAGGTCGCCAGCAAATGCGCCCAGATGGCCGCGCTTCGCGCCTCGCGGTCTTGGACGGAGAGTCTGTTCTAGTCCAGGCGGTCCCCATGCTAGAGAGAGCGAAGGGTGCCCCTGATTCGCGCGTCGCGCTGCGCCAAGCGCGAAGGTTGGTGACCGAGGGAGCCTGGCCTGAGACGTTCAGGCACCATGCCATTGCTCCGGACCTTCCCCTTGAAATATTGTTTGCCCACGCTATTGCCTGAACCACACACCCCGCCTACGCGGGAGGGAGTGAAGGAATTCATCAGGAGGCGAGCTAATGAAACTTGAGTATCAGGAGAAGATCCACTGCACGCGCACATCATCTCAACCAGAGGAGGGCCCCACCTCGTTCTCTCAGCCAGAGCGCCAGGTCCTGCAGGATCCTGCGAAGACCCCCTCTGGCTGACCCGGGTCAGGGAGCCGCTCGTGGCCGCGAGGCGGCCGCACATATTGGCTGACCCGGGTTTGCGAAGACCTGCGTTGCAGCTTTTTTTTCCTACATTGCAGTTTTTGGTTTCCCGCTGACCCGGGTCTGGATTGACCCGGGTCAGAAGATCCCCGATCCTCACCCCCCTCTCAACCAGCCCTCCCCCTCGTCGTCGTCGTCGTCGCCGTCGCCGTCGCCGTCGCCGTCGCCGTCGCCGTCGCCGTCGTCGTCGTCGTCGTCGTCGTCGTCGTCGTCGTCGTCGTCGTCGTCGCCGGCTTCGTCGTCTTGTCCGCTCTCGCTGCTCGTGGAACGTCCTCGCTCCACCGCGGAGCTTGGCCGTGCGCCAGCCGCCACCTCGGGAGGCGTAAGACGAGGGTGGAGTGCTCCTGCCCCGCCTCCTGAGGTCGTCGTCGTCGTCCTCGCCGTACGTTCTCCCTCCCTCGGCCGCGCGAGCGCCGTGCCCGCACTCGCGCGCCCACCGGTGGGGTCTGCCGATCACCTGGCGAGCACCCCCACCTTTTTTTGATGGAAGGGCGACTGCCAGGCCCTTCTCCATCGGAGACATGGGTGTATACGGACGGGAGAGGAGGAGGAGGAGGAGGAGGAGGAGGAGGAGGAGGAGAGGAGGAGGAGGGAGGAGGAGGAGGAGGAGGAGGAGGAGGAGGGAGGAGGAGGAGGAGGAGGCGGAGGAGCGGAGGAGGAGAGGAGGAGGAGGAGGAGGAGGAGGAGGAGGAGGAGGAGGAGGAGGAGGAGGAGGAGGAGGCGGAGGCGGAGGCGGAGGAGGAGGAGGAGGAGGAGGAGGAGGAGGAGGAGGAGGAGGAGGAGGAGGAGGAGGAGGAGGATTCCAGCGATTCCAGAATTCGGGGGATTCACGAGTGCAAGCTCGGGCCCACGATCAAAACAGTCAAGGAGCGGGGAAGGCCATGCCGTACTTGGGAGGCTTGCCTTCAGCTAGCCGCTCAAGATTGCGCCTGCCAGTGGCGGACAGAGGCGTGCCTGTCTCAGGGCACGCGGGTGGACAGGGCTTGGCCAACTTCTGAACAACGTTGGCAGCAAAGTACCCGCAGCACCGACAGTACAAAATTCCTTTGAATCCAGCCAGGACGTGCGTCGGGTGCGCACGCGAGAAACATGGATGTCCGTTCGGGTTGCCCTGGGACGCGGGGCCAGGGGAAGTCGAAGGGTCCAACCTGCCAGCCGACGAGGACCCCAACACCAGCGCTCCAGGGCACTGACTAGGCCAGAATTTGGCCAGCTCCCCTCGGACGGCAGGAAATCTACAAAGACAACGTGAGCACTTAAATGATCCAGCAACTCTACACACATCATGGCCCTGCTCACGCAATCTCGCCTTGCGGAGGTTGCTCGAACAGGGTCCTCGCTCTTTGTGGTGCTCCCTACCTAGACGATCCTCTCGAGTCCTCGGGCACATGAGCGAAACATGCCTGGAGACAGCGAGGAGTCGTTTAATCACACGTAAACAATTTTCATCTACATTATAAATTTCCCTGACCTTCTCAGCAGGGAGGCCCCCCACTTGGCAGCTTCCCCCGCAAAGTGATCGGCAACGCCATTGGCGACTAATCCTTGGGGGGTCAGGCGGTGGGCGGAAACCTGCTTGAAGGTGGGGTGGCTCTTGCACCAGTGGACGTCCAGCTGGCCATCTCTGTCGCCAAGCTGGTCCCAGACCTGCTGCCACAGGTCCAGCATGCAAGAGTGATCGACTTCGACATCCTTCCGAGCAAAAGCACGAGCAACTGGCAGAAAGTCGGTGTACAACACCGCATCACCGACGACAAATCGCAACAGCTGGATCACAGCATACAATTCAGCACGGGGAGAGTTTTGCTCGGCTCCAGGAAGGGTTCCACACAACACGCCTGCCACCTGGAGGGTCCCTGGTTGAAGGTGAACAACAGACCACCCGCATCTCCTCAACCTCCAATCCTTCGTATGTTCTCCTCCAGAAGCGTCACTCCCGAATATTCCCCCATGAATCGGTACACCTTCACGAAGAGCCTCATGAAAGGATCCCCAGGCCCAAACCTTAGTTTCCACGGGGGGCAACACTCCAACCGTCCAGCCCAGGGGAACCAAACCACGAGTCCAGAAACACTCCGATTCAGGAACACCAGCGAGGGAATCTTGATACATATGGCTAGTGAGGTGTATGTGGTCGTCATCAATATTCGCATTATCTTGACAGCCCCAGTATCTGTGCCAAGGTGTTTCCTGGCGAACTCCACAACGAGGGCAAACACCATTGCTGAGATAGCCGCTGTCCTTGAGGCGCTGCTCTGGCCACTGGCCACCAGAGGCGAGGTGGTTCAAAATAGCAACGCCGTCGAGGTCGCCTTGCCGAGACAGCGAATTCCGCAGCCTACGCAACACAGTAAAATCAACACCTTCATGCAGACCCTGTCCCCCGTAAGCCTCAGAGGCTTGGACCCAAAGCATACTGCCCACTTGTTTTTCAAACGTCTTCCACAAAAAATACGGGAAATCACGTCGATCAACATGGAGGGTAACATCAGGGAATCTCCACGTGCAGGGCTCTAGTGGGTTCCCATTGAGCTCCAAGACACACATGATGACAGACGCGATGGGGCCCCGCACATGTCGCCAACGGTGAACAGGCGGAACACTTCGCAGCTTAGCTAACAACTTGGGCCAAACTTTGTTCACGCTACAAACCTGGCTAGGGTCGAGGACACGGTAAGTTCGGCTCCATTCCAAGAGATGTTCAAATCGAATCTTATACGCTGGGTCATCAGACATAGCATGATCAAGAGCAAGGAGGGTAGTGGTACAACAGCCAGCATGCCATCGTCCTGTCGCTTTAGCAGCCTGGGCACGAAGAGAACGCATGCGCGAGGGCGGAGTGCCGAGGACTTGATGGCTCCATGTGCCAACAGCGACCACACCTGGCTTAAACAACTTGCGAGCACGACGATTAACATGGGACAGAAACGTGAGCCTCTTACTGCGAAGCCTAGCTTCTTCCTTGCGCTGAGTCATTTTCCACATCGTCCTCCTCCTCCCCGCCGTGGTCCCAACTCCCAAGTCCTTCACAGAATCAACAACTTTAAGCGGAATGTTCAGCTCATCACAGAGAGCCTGAAAAGGGCGACCAACTTGCCGAGAAGAGGCGACGACACACGACTTCGACGAGATCTTACACCCACGACGTTTCAATACATCACAAAGTTCTCGCGCAGCTGGCACCAATTTGGTAATGATGTCCTGCACAGAGCCTTGGATGCACTGGGTAAGGTCGTCCACATACGCCGAAATCGGGACACGAGGGACACGACAATGTGCCGCCTCCAAGATGTCGTAGAGATAACATTTGATCCATGGCAGGGACTGGGAACATCCAGCTAAAATGGACTGGCCAGCCTGCATAACACCCGACACCAGGGACTGGACCTCGAGGGGCCTGGGGGAGGTGTGGATCAGGAGGCCCAGGTAGAGGAGCAAGGAGGAGTAGTCGACAGCCTGAGCCAAGCCGATGAGCTTACTTGGGTCGATGGTGTCAAAAAACTTCTCCATATCCCAGTGGCCAGAAACAGAAAACACTCCCTCCACCCGAGCACACTCGTGCAAACCCTCACGGAGCATGGCGGCCCGCAGGGCCGATGATTTCTTCACGGCCGCATCCCAGAAGGCGACGTGGGAATCGGTCCAGTCCTGGATTTTGTCCCCGCGGATTCGGGTATACAGTCGGTAGAGGGTGGGGCGCTTAGTGATGGGTCTTGCAGACGTGGACGTTTTGGGCAGGAGGGTGACCAGACAAAGGTAGACCTGCTGGGGGAACTCAAGGGCATACTCGATGCCATTAAAAATGGTGGCCAAGTGATCCAGGGCTTCACCAGGAAGCCGCATCAAATCACGAGGGGACCACCCGTCCACGCCGAGGGCCGTGTCGGCCGAGAAACACTTGCAAGCCGTGAGCACGTCTTGGCCCTCAATGCCGCGAGCCTCAAGCGACTCAAGCTCAGCGACAGGTCGGAGGCGCTGCATAGCATACTCGAGATCACAGACTTGCCTGCTCGTAGGCGTCCACCAGGCCGCCCAAAACTGCTCGCGATATCTCATCAACTCTTGGGGGGTTTGGGCAACGAAAGTGGGAGTAACAAACATCTCAACCTCCTTCTTGGCATCAGAACGTAACCAACGGTGGGCCACTTTCGCTCCCCCCGCAAGTCCCTTGGAGAGCCAGGCCTGGATACCGAGGCGATTAGCTTTCCGAGCCGCAGTCCACGCGCGACGAAGGACGGGGACGAGAGCTTCTTGGATGACTTCGAGCTTCCGAGGGTCGCCTGGAATGTCTTGCAACCACCCTGTCCATACAGCAGCTTGCCGTGCATCGGCAAGGCCTTCAAGGTGTAGCCCCACCTCGTCACCGCGCGCTCGGAGGAGAGTCCTGAGAGCGGTGACCTGGGTGGTGCCTCCTCTCTTCAAGGCGACAGCAAAATCATACAGGCGGGGCGATATCAGCGCCCAAAAAGCCAGGCAGCGGTGGGAGAAACCTTGCTTCATCACTCCTCGTTTGGGAAGGGTCCGCTCCTGCACAACTACTGCTCTGCCCCTGCGCCCCCCCGGCGAAGGCCAGGTGGAGAGGGGGCGGGGGCAAAACAGCATTTCCGCAGCAGTAGACCACTTTTGATAGGATTCCGAGAGTCCTTGCGAGTGTAGGGGCCAGTGAAACTCGAGGAAGGCTCCACGGACTTCGCGAGGTATCTCCACAACTTGGTCACCAGCACGGTGGGCAAAATCACTCCAACGCTGATCAGGCCCAGGGTGGGCCCCGATTGGAACTGGTCGATCACGTTTCATCACGGTGTCACGGAGAACCTCGAGCGACATCTGCACATGCAAGCAGGCGTGCGTCTTAAAAGCGGAGCTCCAATCCGCGTCAATCGTCAGGTATGGGCGGATGTCCCGCGACACGACAGCATAATCGATCAGGCGGCCAGTGCCTTTGTCACAGGTAAAAGCAGTATTGCGGGGGTCAACCGTGACGCCAGAGACAACCTCACAGAATCCACACTGATGCAACTCGAGGGGCTCCATGTTGAAATCTCCCAAGAGGATCCACGGGCACCCAAGCATCCCCAGGAACTCAACCACTTCATGGAGACGGTCGAGGTTTATTCCTGAAGCTCCAATCCCAGAGACGAGATAAATAACTCCCAGAGCGAGCGTACAATGCTGCGTCTTCATTTCCAGGAAAAACCAACTCTGCCCCTGGCCCACGTTCTCGACCCCAGCTGGGAGACTACGTAGGAATTTCTTGCAGTAGACCGCCTTCTGCACGACAGCGCCGACACCGCCGTGCCATCCTCCGCCAGGCGAAGGAAGGGCTGCTTGGAAGTGCGGGCGCCATCCCATAGATGAGCAGTCTCTCTTGGCGGCCTGTAGCTTGTCGGGTCGCTGATGGTGCTCGGCAAAGAGGTAAACGTCGACATCCTCAACAGCTCTGGCAAGTTCAGACTTGGCCAGTTCAGACCAGCTGGAAACGTTTCAGAACTTGACATCGATAGTCGAACGCCCGTCGACCCTCTGCCATCGCCGCCCCAGGGGCTCGTCAAACCAACGACGCGCCTTGCACAACTTGGGGGGCTGCCAGGTGAGCAAAAGCGTTAACCCACATATCATTAGCATAAGTAGCCACCTTGAGCTTCTTATGCGCCTGCGCATGAATTTTTTTGACCAGGAGGGTCTCCAACCTCTCAAGGTCCGCAGGCTTACATTGCTCCGCAGAACGCTTGCGAAGCTCAGAAAGCTCCTGCCGATCAGCTTCACCAAGAAGATCGTCATCATCATCGACAGGAACAGCCTTATGTTCACCACCATCCTCACCACTCGCACTGCCCATCGCCGCATCTGCACCCGCGCCAGCGCCAGCCTCGCCAGGAGCAGACGACGTGGACGCCGAGGAACCAGGAGAGACCGAGCTGAGGACGTTGTGAGCGGCGAGCTGGGCGGTGCGCAGGTTGCACCACTCGCTGAAGGGGACCTTGGTGCTGTCGGCGAGCTTCCGAAGGTCATCATCTCCCAAAGTATGTAGTTTACCAAGTACTTCACGGGCATCTTCGGGTGCAGGGCCTGCTCCAGAAACGCCCTGAGCGCCTCCAGGTTCACCACCAGGTGGGCCGTCTGCACCAGCAGGGGGGGGCCGCGCAGCAGCTTGAGCAGCCGCCGCAGCCTCCATCTTCTGCTTCTTGAACGCATCCTCGTCGAACCTGTCCTTCTTCTCCTTGGCGACGGTGTGGGCGGACTGGGCGACCTCGAGGTGCGATGAGGCTTCGGCAAAGGCAGCCTCGGCCTGCTTGACCTTCTCACGGGCCTTAAGCAAGGCCTCCTGACGTTCAGAACGACTCTGCCAGGCCAAGCGCTCAACCTTGGCAGCCTCCTCCGCGCCCTTCGCCAGGGCGGTCCGCTCTCCAGCCGCCGCTGCGTCCAGCTGCGCATCGGACGGGACGTTTGGCGGTGGTGGAGGCGGTAGGTGGTTCGCAAACACATCTCGTAGGCCAGGAAATTGAGCGACTGCAGCACTTGCTTGACCTGACAGATCGAGAGGTTGTGAGTCGACCGCCGCACTCGACTCACCCGTAGTCTTATTGCGCATGACATATGATCCACTGCAACGGCTGCACGCAGTGTGACCATGAAAGAGGTACTCCCAGTGCCCGCACTTGCTGCAGACGGCGTAGGGTGAAGCCTCACCGTCACGGCGACGCTTGTGGACACGGCGACCAGCATCACGGCGCTGCTGATCACCTTTCGCACGCCAGGGAGGGGTACGCTCCGCCGAAGTCCACGTCCACGGCATGGCATGCACGCTCCGACAGGAGCTCACAGCACTGAAAGGGGTACCGAGCTGGGCCGCCAGAAGCCCCTGCGGTACTGGCAAAAGAAAGACGTCGAGCGCAAGCGCTCTGGCACTGCCGCGGACTAGCGGTATCCACTTGTTCCACTGTGGAACACAAAGCCTTGAGCCAAATGGCTACGGGGAGGAGGAGGAGGAGGAGGAGGAGGAGGAGGAGGAGGAGGAGGATGAGGAGGAGGAGGAGGAGGAGGAGGAGGAGGGAGGAGGAGGAGAGGAGGAGGAGGAGGAGAGGGAGGAGGAGGAGGAGGAAGGAGGAGGGGAGGCGGAGGAGGAGGAGGAGGAGGAGGAGGAGGAGGAGGAGGAGGAGGAGGAGGAGGAGGAGGAGGAGGAGGAGGAGGAGGAGGAGGAGGAGGGAGGAGGAGGAGGAGGAGGAGGAGGTAGGAGGAGGAGGAGGAGGAGGAGGAGGAGGAGGAGGAGGAGGAGGAGGAGGAGGAGGAGGAGGAGGAGGAGGAGGAGGAGGAGGAGGGAGGAGGAGGAGGAGGAGGAGGAGGAGGAGGAGGAGGAGGAGGAGGAGGAGGAGGAGGGAGGAGGAGGAGGAGGAGGAGGAGAGGAGGAGGAGGAGGAGGAGGAGGAGGAGGAGGAGGAGCGTGTCGCTCCGCCGGATCTGAGTCCGACGCGCCATCCACTGCCCGGTCCCCGGGGGTCCACGCCCCGAGCTTTTCCGAGCCCCCACGCCCCGCGGAGCGGAGCGGCACGTCCGCTCGCAAGGGCACGGCGTGTCGCCAGGGCCGCCATGCCATGCGACACGCTGGCCAGCAGCGCCCGGTCGGAATCTGTTTTTCCAGCGTGGGCGGCACCAACCAGTGAGGCTGGGCGTGTCCTTCTACAGGGGGATTTCGGACGACAAGTAAAAGCAGTCAAACAATATGAGAAGGTGTCAAAAACATGGCCGGAGAGTCGTCCCCAGGCTATTTCTGACTATTTTGGACTGTTCCTCCTGTAGAGTCTGTAGAGGGACATGCCCGACTTATCCAAACAGTGAAGCCCGTACAATGTATTTGGACGCAGGCAGAAATATGGACCGAGTTCCGCCATCTTCTGGATGCTCGAGGCGATGTTCTGGGAGAAGCATGACAGTTTCGGCGAGTAGAGATCTTGGGGCACCATGGAGCCCTGGGCAACGCTTGGTGCAACACTTTGTCGCACCCAACAGGGCCCAGGACATCTTTCTAGGCGCAACACATGGCGCAACCTATGGCCACCAAGAGCCCTTGTCAGAGTACGCCAAGTTTTTGAGGCGCAAATGAAGAGCCCCTGAGGGTGAGCACTGCTTGGGGGAAGAGAACAAACTCCTTGGCATGGGAATGGAAAGCTCGCCCAGCTGGTTCGGTTGGTAATCTAGACGGGGGGGCCTCTTGGCCCGTTCTCGAGGGACGAGTCGGAGGGGGAAGGTGAGGGCGAGCAGGGGGAGAGCAGGACGACCTAGGAGGAGGAGGAGGAGGAGGAGGAGGAGGAGGAGGTGGAGGAGGGACGTCTGCTTGACAGTCCCCGATCCCAGCAGGAGCCACCAGCAGTAAGGGGTGGGGGGTCCGTGCGGCAGAGGCGCGCAGGCGAGGACGGCAGCGCGCTCCCCCAGAAACGGCCTCGGCGGCGGCGGCCTCCGCCGCGAGCAGAGGCGCCGCACCGCGGGGCACCCGCGGTGCAGCCCTGCAAACGAGCCACAGAGCATGAAGGAGGATATGAGTTGGGAAACAGAAAGTGGCATCAACATAACAACTCGGAGGTCCGCGCGGATTTCTCGGATCGGCGCTGGACCCCTGGCGTGCGGAGCGCGCCAGGGGCGGCGCCTCCGGCGCCGCCGGGGGGGCCCCAGGTCCGATCCGAGAAACGCGCGCGGACCTCCGAGCTGTTATGGTTATGCCAGTTTTTGTTCCCCTAGAACGAGCCACAGAGCATGAAGGAGGATATGAGGGCGCTCAGGAAGCGCATGGGGGAGTTGCGGCCAAAATATTGGGACACGGGAGCTACGGAGGTCGAACGCATGTGGGTGAGCATCGAATCGACACTGCAATGGTTTTTAGCTTTACACGATCGTCGCGCGCTTTTTTCGCGCACCCACTTGTTCACCCTCTCGCGCACCTGTTCCCCCGCAGCTTACTTCTCCCTGGGAGTTCCACGTCAAAGTTGCCCATGCAACATCGAGGGATAGTTGTCTTTGCCGCGCAGTGGAGGACGGCAGCGCGCTGCCTGAGAACAGTCTCGGTGGCGGCGACCTCCGCCTCGAGCAGGGGTGCCGCTCCGCGGGGCGCTCGCACTGCAGCCCTGCAGACGAGCCACGGGAGCTCTATTGCGTCGGCGGCGAGGCAGAGAGTTGACTAAGGCCAGCGATAAGAGCTAGACGGGGGCACCGAAAAGCCAATCGGCCAGCGGGCAAGAGCAGGCCGAGGGCAGGGTCGGCGGCGGCGGAGGGGGGGAGAAGAAAAGACCACACGAGCCACAGGAACATGGAAGCTAGGGGGCCCATAGAAGGACAGTGGTCTTGCCACCATGCCGCGGCCTGACGCACCTGGCCCAGGGCCAACGGCATGCCACCCCCAGAAAGCTAACCAGTGACTGCAGCGAGCGCCGCATCCGTGCGGGCGCAGCGCTCTGTGCGACGACGCTTGGAGCACCGCTCAGAAGGCCGCAACATGCGACACCTCTCCTTGTTTCTCGCCTGCCTGCGGCAAGTCTCGCCACCGTGCCGGCACATCGCTCAGTGTGGGCACTGTTTCGCCAAGCGGTTGTTCTGCGGCGAGGGGGGGGAGGCGCACACACACACAAACAAAGACACACTCACAAAACAAAGCACACACAAACACACACACGGTCACACATACAACACACAACACAATACACACGAACACACACACAAACATACACAAACACACAAGCAATCAAACAACCATAACACAAACAAACAACCAAACAAACAAACAAACAAACAAACTCACATAGATACACTGGGCGCCCAGGGAATCTCTGCCCCCACTCCCCCGTGGGGAAGTGAGCGGAAGGTAGGGACTTCCTTTTCGAAGCAGTTACGACATTGTACATTGTTCAGTTTCCCTCAGATTGGCGTGCGCTTCAGGTTGACGCGGCCTCTCAAGTCTTGCACACACGTCGACAGTTTCGATGGAATTTGTTGTTGCTGTGTTTCCTTCACTCATGGGGATTTAGGATTACTCGCGCTTCTCCTCAATCTACTCCTCCTTTTCCTATCTCCCGCTACTCCGACCTCCCCCTGCTGCTCCTCCTCAGGCCTCTCCCCACCCCCCTCTCCTCGCCCTCCTGCTCTGCACCCTAGAGGCCCGACAGCCTCGCATCCTCGATCCCCCCGACTCCTCCACCGTCCACCCTCCCTCTGCCTCCCCCTCCTGTGCGCGCAAGCTGGCCTGGCCGGTGCTGGGCCGAGATCCAGTATAGCTCGCTCTCACAAGGATGAGCAGCTCACGGCACTCTGAGGTCTGTGTGGCGTCTCAGTGGAGCTTCCGATGGATTCACCCGCAAGCAGAATTCCTGGTGAGGTGGCCCGCCTGCGAGCGCCTGCCTTTGAGGCCTGACCAGCCAGCGGTTGCATCAGAGAGGCGCAGTCCAGGAAGTCCTGAGCGCGGGGACGCTCTTAGAGCTTGCCCGAATGCTCTCAGACGGCCGCGGCGCCCGATACACCCTCCAGAGCCCCCGGATCTCAGGGATTATGATTTTTCCTCTCCCGAGTGTATCCTCGTCCTGGCCTCGTCTTACCATCGCCGACATTGGCGCGCAAGCTGCCCGCGTAAGGTCGCGCGTGAGCGCTCTCTTTTCCAATGCGGCGTGCTGCGCCAGCGGCCCGCGTAAGCCGCCGCCTACGGTCGCCAGGTCACCTCGCGTAAGACCCCTTTCTTGTCGTCGCCCAGGTTACCACGCACAAGACCCTGGTCAGAATTTCAAGGCAAATCCAGCCCTGGCGACGAGGGCCTCCCAGGAGGCCCAAAACAGGGGACAACGAGGCACGGGCAGCGGTATCGGTACCTTCTCATCTTCTGAGTCTGGGGGATCCCAGGAAATCCTGAGCGCGGGGGCGGCCCAGGGGATTTGACGCGGAATCCACGTGACTTCGACGTGGATTCGACACGGATCCGACACGGATTCCACACGGATTCGACGCGTTCGACATGGATTCGACATGGGTACGACACGGATGGTTGGCGCGATGGGATAGACGGGGTCCCGCGAAGATGCAACATACAGTCAACCCGCACGGAAAGGATAAGCTATTTTCCAAGGTTGGAGTTGCACCTTTCCCTTTCAGCTCATCCTTGGCCGTTTTCGCTGGCCGCGCCCCCACGCGTAAAGTGTCAAAAGAGCCCGCCAAGGCCCCTGCATCCTTATCGTGCGTCCGTGTTTTACGGGTTAACTGTAAACCCCGAAGATGCACATAACTCGGCGGCGAGCCCGCGGGGAACGTGAGAAGGAGAAGGCCTTTCTCAGACGACTCGGAAGTCCCTGGGCCTTCGAAGAAGATTTCTGAGCCTTCCCCGAAGACAGGAAATTTCTCAGAAGGCTGGAGCGCTCCTGAGAAGCCCCGCCGCCTTCTGAGGAGGCCTTCTCTTTAC